ACAAAAATTACGCTATCCCTTGTAGTTCAGTTGAGTCCATTTTATGAACGAAAAACATCAACTTTCTGTACTCCTTGTCACTACGGCAATGACTGACGTGACGTCAGTCATTGCCTCGTGGGACGTCAGTGACGTCCCACGAGGAAAATAAAAAACGTTTCATATTACCCACAAAAGAGTGATCTAATAAATTAAATAAAATAAAAAGTTTAATAGTTTGTCTAGAACTTTCCTTACTATGGAGACGGAACTTCCGACGCGCTTCTCTTTAAATCTAAAACAGAAAAATTAGGCCAAAAACATCATAAGTACAGAGTTTACTCAAAGAAGACGTCGAACTTAATAAGAGGAGTGTGGCAGAGGGATATAAAAGTGCCTTCGTGTGTTCTGATGATCTCGAAGTTTTGGGGCTTTTATTGCCGACTATCTGAGAAATAATAAACTATCGTCAGTTTTGGGTTAGAAACCTCTTTGCGCTGCACTACAGATCTCTAAAATTAAGTTTTTAAAATTAAGCTTTAAAATTAAGAGTTGAACAAATCAGAACCATTGTATCTCTGACCTTTAATAACAAAACTTTTTGTTTTCAGAGTAAGAAAAAAATAAAAATAACCCCAAGAAAAATCTAAGTCGCAAACAACGACCAAAAAAAAGCATGGTTGAGGGCAAAACGCTCTCAAATCTCTTATTTACAATGATTCTGCACAGCGGAAAACATAAGGAAAGAGGTATTTAATGTAACGCAAGAAAAAAGGTATTCAATATAACGCAAAAAAAGAATATTTGTGTAAATCACAACAAAAAGTTAATTAGTGTTTGTGTTGTGCGTCTCAACGCCCTAGAACTAAACTATCGATTAGGAAAGAAAGGCAAAAAATAAATTTGCGCACGCATAAAGGCTTTTTACTAAAAAGAACTAAAAGCAAACATTTTCCAATTTTAAACGATCGGTAAGAATTTCAGAATGTTATGCAAAAAAGCACTCAGATAAATATAAAAAACCAGCTAGTCCTTTCATAATAACAATCCATTTTTCTTCTTTGAGTTAGCATGGTAGAAAAATAACAACGAGAGAAAGCCAAGTGCTAGAAATAACAGAAAAGAACGCTTTCAGCATGAAAAAGTTCAACTCACATATATGATACAATGATTACAAACATCAATTTACATACAAATATTTACCATTTTAAACAGTTCAATATCTTCTTCTACGACGTGTTGTTGTCTTCGGAACTGTTGTTTTGTGAATCACTGTCTGGTTCGATGTACTTGTATGGCGTTTTCCGGGAACTGGTTTTGTTGATTGTTCTTTTGGATGAGGATCTTCTGGTGGATTATTTTCAGTTTCATGATCTATCATTTCTTCAAATTTTCTTTTCTGATTTGGAACTTGAATGGGAGGAGCTGGTGGCTGTTGATCATTGTTACTATTTTCTGTAGCTGATGTTAACGACGCTGAATCGTTTTCTTTTAATTTATCTGCAATAGCAATTGCTGCAGCTGCTGGAACATTTTCTTGTTCACTCGATTTTATTGTTATTTTTGGTACAATTGAATCAAGTTGGATTTGCCAGTTGTTCAGAGTTTTTCTTGTAGCTTTGGTTGTTTCACTTTTATCATTGTAAATCATCGAAAACAACAGTCTTGTTGGAACTCTGTGCTGCCCGAATATGTCGAACATTGATATCCATAAAGCAAGTGCATCTTCCGCACACTTTGCTAATACGACGACATTCCAGTCTAACATAATATTAATTGTTTCATCCGTATAGTGAATGGACGGAGTTAGCAAGGGCGGTTTCTAAAACAAAGGCACACAAAGAGAGGTTTATACTACGTGATTAAATAAGAAAAAATGAACTTACGACATCTTTATTGATTACATGCTGCC